GACTGGAGAGCAGAGTGAAGCACATTCACGTCAGGTACTTTCTTCTGCGAGAGTTGCAGAGGCGTGGACAGGCTCGCTTTGAGTTTGTGGAGTCCGAGGCCAACACTGCAGACATCTTCACCAAGGCGCTTCCGCCTTGTGACCACCAGAGGTGCTGTGTGCAGTTAGGCCTTGTTGACACTGGTTCTCGTGTTGCTTAGGCTTGAGTGTACTGTTTACTTTGCTTTCTATATACCTCTGTTACTTCTTGGACTGGCCTTGTGGCCACTGTTGTTTGTGCTCAGACTGTGTGGTGACGTTGTGATCCACCCTGAGCTTCGTTTCTTGGACTGGTCTTGTGACCGTACTCGTTTGGTTCTGCTAGACACCCCTCACTTAGGCTATGGGGGTGTGTCAAATGTTGTAGCCTATAGTGAGGTTTGTCTTAGGGGGTACAAAACTTAGGGTTAGCTATATGTACCCCAACCAACATCAATGCATCATCCATTCCTCATTCTGACAGTTTATAGCACATGGTACATATGGCGGCTGCATTACAGGGCTGAAAGGGAAAATTCAACGCGCATCACCAGAAATAGTGTTTGGCAAAAGATCTTCGTCTACCTTTACTCCAGGGAGAACTAAACGCAATAGCTCCAAGCTGGCACTACCCGCTCTGACCTGCTTCAAACGAGGTAGCGCCTTCAGCATCTTCGCACCCTTCTTTGTCACGACAGCATTTGATATATCCAACGGCTCCAAAGCAACCAGCTGCTGCACATGCTTCAAACCAGCATCAATGATAGAATCCGGGAGGACCAGCATCTTGAGCCGAGTTAACGGTTCTAGAAACTGAAGCCCGTGGTCCTTCACTCCGCTGCCAAACAGATACAGCTCCTCAAGGCTTGTCACCCCCCCCCTACGTGCACCATGCCGGCACAAGTCACCCCCTCACACTTGTATAGAATTGAAGTCTTGAGGGAAGCAAGGCCAGCCAGGTGGGGCAAACCCGCATAGTCACAGCGGCTTGAAGGAGGTAGAGTAACTTAAGACTGCTGCTAGCCGTGCTAGCCATACATCTTTAGTTTTCCCTCCAGTTCCTCCTTTGCTTCTTGCAATTTCTCCTCCAACTCTTCCTTGGTTGCTTCCAAACTCCCCTCCATCTCCCACTTGACTACTACCAGCTCCGCTTTCACATTCATCACCTCTTTCTCTCCCTTCTCCACCCGCCCTCTTAACTCTCTCAAATCCGCCACTCTCCTTCTCTCAGCCTCCTTCAGTCCCTTCCTTGTCTCCTCCAATTTCTTCCTTGTCTCCCCCACCTGCCCTTCAAGCGCATTGATTCGAGCTTGCATGGCGTGTAACAGTGCAGCTGTTTCTTCTGGCTGCATTGAACGTATAGGAGCATCTTCATCTGCCCCCTGCATTCTGACATTGTGCGAGAATACCAAGAAACGAGGACAACCACGCACGAGGAAAAAAGGCACAGGGATAGGGAAGGTGGACACAAATGGGGGCAATTGATGAGGTGTGGACGTGTACGCAGGGGTATCAATGGTGAAGAAAAGAGTGTGAAAGCTAACAATGTGTGAACATGAAGTGGCAAGCTGATGCGTTCTTACTTGTCATTGAGAGCTGAAATGACAGGTACCTGTGGCATGGGAGGGCACGAGGAGGGACTATGGAACAAGCATCAACCATCAACAGGGAATGAGAGATGGGAAGGAACCTGGAGATTGAAAAGGTAAGAGAAAGGACAAGAGATACGAGCTGAGAGGAGGAGATGACAAGACGAGCCGCACAACTCGAAGCAGCCCATGAGATGTACTGTTGGTTACTCGTATGTGGTGAGATGAGTCCACAAATTGAGGCGATTTTTGAGGCGCCTAGAAATCCACGAGATGTACTGTTGGTTACTCGTACATATTGAGATGAGTCAACGAAGTGTACCGTTTGGTACGTGAATATGGTGAGATGAGTGGGGTTATGGACAAAATGCCTGGCCCAAGCAAGTCAATACGGCATGAATCATGGCATGGAGAGGGCCACTCATGGTTCGTGTTCTGAGTCGACTCAAAAAATGAATCATGGTATACGTAACATCATGGCATGGAGAGGGCCATTCATGGCATCAAGAGGCCATGAACCATGGCATAGCGACGATCTGGCTCATATCATACCAGGATAGAAACGACCGCACTTTCCAGCTTCAGCAGATTATCTTTCGCTTGCAAACCTTGCCGACCCACCCACGCCCTGGTCTGTGTCTGGGAGATGTCCGTCCACCAGCGCAGCATTATGGCAGATAACATGCCTGGAAAGACGACGCACACCTGGTGTTGGTGTCGGGACATTGAAAAAACTTGGTGTTGGTGTCGTGTCGGGTCATTGAAAAAACTTGGTGTTGTGACAGTGGCACACTTCATGTTGGGACAGTGGGACAGGACACATGGGTGAAGGACCAAAGGGGGGGGCTGAAAAACACGATGAATGTACGCCTGGTGCTGGTGCTAGTGTTGGTGCTGGTGTTGATATAGTGAAACAGAACACACGCATTGGTGTTGGGACAGTGAGACCTGCCACGCGTGTCATGTCATGCAGGGTCCATGCAGGTCACGTGTTTGAAGTGTATTTTTGAGACATCTCAAAACTACACTTCAAACACGTGTCTTGCTATGCGTGTCATGTCATGCAGGGTCCATGCGGGTAGAGAGACACATGCCTAAACAGCGCAGGGATGCATATGCTGGCGAGTGGCTTGCAAATGCCTCGTGAATGTTATGTGATTGCTGGATGAATGCTGGATAAATGCTTGGTGAAAGGCTAGTAAATGTCTGGTAAATGCCTGGCGAATGGCTGTTAATGTCTAGTCAACGCTTGCTTGGTTAGATTTCTGACAGTGAAAGGGAAACCCAGCACGTGCACGAGGACAAGTCCGGCAGCAGAGACAGGCACAGCGGCCAGCAGCAGCCCTGTCAGCACCACTGTCGGTCCATCCGTCCTCCCATCTTCCAGGCGCCTCAGGAGCACATCCACGCCTGGCAACAGCACATCTAGGAGAGCCATTCCCAAAGCGGAGCACAGTGCCTTCAACAGCACTGACAGCAGCTCTGACAGCAGCATGTACACTACAATCCTGTCGGCCATGGCCATGGGTATTAACAACTCTCCAGATTGATGTATGCTGGGCAAGTGGTTTGTTAAGAAGCCTCAGAAGGCTTATCCAGATTGGAGAAGGCTGGGCAAGAAGTGGATCCTGCAAGACGAGGGGTGGGGAGAATGGGAGCAGAGCAGCACGCAGAGGGTGACGAGGCACGATGAAGAGGGAACTAGGGTGCATAAGGCGCTTAGGACCTCAAGTACAGAGCCAACATTCCGACCTCAAAAAGCATCAAAGAGCATCAGAGAACATGAGAAACCATCAGAGGGCATCAGGAAGCATCAAAGAGAGTAAAATAAGAGCATCAGGGGGCATCAGAGAGAAAGAGCATCAGAGAGAATAAAACAAGAGCATCAGGAAGCATCAGAGAGAATAAAACAAGAGCATCAGGAAGCATCAGAGAGAGTGAAATAAGAGCACGGGAAGCATCAGCGAGAGTAAAATAGGAGCATCGGGAAGCATCGATGCTTGATCAAGGAACGTCAGAGAAACAAAGAGGAAAGGATTGGCAGGAGGACGGAAAGAGGCAAAGCGGACAATCGAAAGGAGATGACCATTCAGATTGCGTAACCGATGTGGCACCTTCAAAAGTACCGTACCATGCACCAGATGACATGCCTTTCAATGTTTTCCGTTTCCGTGTATGAATAGTATCGGCGTTACTGTGCTCTCAAGCTTATCTCTTCGCAACCCTAGTTTAATATTGGAGCTCAGACTGTCATCAGGGTGCAGCGAGCTACGGAAACACTTTGTGTCAGACTCGAACAATTCCGTTGGAAGGGATTAAAGAGCCCTGCCGTAGCTTGAAGGTGTGACGAGTAGAAGGAACGCGGAAGGATCCAACGCATCGAACGGAAGGGGTGGGACATAGGAGGGGAGAGTCAAGAGGTCAGTCTCTGTGCTGGTGTACGGGTGGCAAGCGGGGGACTACGAAACGCAATTTTTAATCGTTATGGGGCGAAGCGAAAGACACGCATGTGAATTTGGTAAAGATTGTCTGTGAGATGTGTGACCATGACTGACGCAAAACTGCGCGAGACATCGATCTGATGTGAGGAATGAAGCAGAATGCAGAGACAATTCCAGTCAGAGCGACGGCGTCAGGCCTTTGCGATGGCGATTCCACGCCTTGCTCCGCTCACCCTACTTGGCTTGCTGTCACACAGCACACTCAGCTTGAGTGCGGTTTCCACGGCAAATGTGACGCAGCTTGGGTACGCAGGAATGCAGGCGACAGTTCAGTTCGAGAAAGGGGGGTTGGTAACCAGCGAAGAGCAATTTTATATGCGGAAAAGTGCTGGCTCGTTTAAAGTAGCCCTTCTTTATGGAATTTTGTCTGTTATATGCTTGTGCAAAGATGACACTTCTCTCAACACACAATTGGGGCACTCAGACATTAATGGCACGGGCGACACAAGAATAAATGCAGCTCATGCTGTTAACAGGATAAAAATGATGAATGTTAGAGGATTATTAAATGGTGAGATTATTGACAATTATTTACATTACGCGACGGATGATTCAAGTCTGTCAGTACTATGTACAGATTCCTCACTAGTCTTGTTCACTGTTGATCTCCACACCTGGAATCCAAGCTTGAACCGCGTCAGCCTTCCCGCATACACCATGCCAGCAGATGTTCCGGTAGTCATGGCCCGGAAAAAAACCTCGTCTCAATCACCGCAAATAACGCCAGGCGGGAGACGACTCACCACTTCCACTCCAGGAAGGAAGGTCCTCAACAGTGCCTGAAAGCCGTCACCGTACGCTTTAATCTGCTTCAAATAAGGCAACCTTTCCAGAAGCTTCACACCCTTTTCCGTCGCTACAGAATTGTTGAAATCCAAGTATTCCAGAGCAGTTAGACATTGGATGTGCTCCATACCAGCATCAGTGATCGTATCCGGGAGATGAGCATCTTGAGCTTGCTCAAAGGTGCCAGAAATCGCAGCCCATTGTCTTTTACTCCGCTTCCGAACAGATACAGCTCCTCGAGGCTTGTCATCCTCCCCACGTGCACCATGCCAAAACATGTCACCTTCCAGCACTTGTACAATATCAAAGTTTTGAGGAAAGTGAGGCACGTCAAGTGCACCAACCCAGAATCAGTCACCTCAGTGCGGTTGAGGTAGAGAAATTTCAGAGTCCGTACCCTCCCAATGCCATCCAGGGTGCTGTCAGTGACCACGCTGCCTTTCAGCTCTAGGCGCTCCAGTTGTGGCAGGGAGTAGAGGCACTTGATGCCTTCAGATGTGAACTCTGATGACCCATCAATGTGCACGTGCTTGAGATGGGTCATGGTGGAAACGTGACCGAGGAGGGCATCTGAGAGGCCAGACAGGCCCTTCAGATCCAGAGTTGTATCGAGACGCTTTGGTGCCGGGCACGGCATCGCTGCTGCCTCATTCCCTCTTTTCCTGGACCTCTGCACCTCCCCCTCCATGCCCACCGTTTCCTCCTCCACTTTCAACAAGCAGTCCGCCTGTTCAACCAACTCCCTTTTCACTTCCACCGACCCTCCTTCCCCAGGCGCCACTTTCATTGTCCCCAGCTCACTCTTGACTGTCGCCAGCTCACCCTTTACTGTCGCCAGCTCTCCCTTCACTGCCGCCAGCTCTCCCTTCACTGTAACCAACTCTCCCTTTACTGTCCCCAACTCTCCCTTTACTGTCCCCATCTCTCCCTTTACTGTCTCCATCTCTCCCTTCACTGTCGCCAGCTCATCCCTTGCTGTAACAAGTTCCCCCTTTACCGCCACCAGCTCTTCTCTCACTATTAACACCTCCTCTGCCCTTCTCCTCTCAGCCTCCTCCAGTCCCCTCCGTGTCTCCTCCAGCTGCCCTTCCAGCGCCCTCAGCCTCATCTCCATCGCCACCACCAGCCCGTCGGTTTCCGCCTGGTGCCCTGATGGACTCCCGACACCCCCCTGGTCTCCCCTCATTTCGATCTGCACTCAGCAGCACCACGACCACGTGGAATGGAGAAAAAAAGGGGTTGATTTGAGAAGCACCGTTAAGGGTGGGTGGAATACAGAAGGTGAAGTGAGTAGAAACGTGTATGGATTGTAAGAAGAGGAGAACGAGCAGGAAGAGTTGCAAACGATCAACATGGAGGGTAGGATCGAGAGCTGATGAAGGGACGGGCAGGAGAGGTTCGGAAAAAACCATAGCGGTGAAGGTAGCAGATGCTGCGAGGTAACGACGGCGAGCAAGCAAGGAGACAATAACATTCAGTCAGCTCCATGACGAAAGAACCGGGTACTAAGACACATATTCATCACTAAAGGTAACAAAGAAAAAAAGTGAACACCAGGGATGTGTGCGTTCAGACCCGAACTGTCCTCCCTGCTCTCGAAGAGTTTTATGACTGAAATGATGAGATGCGTCAACATACGTGCAAATAATCGACGCTCAGCTTAGAGACGAGAGATTATCCCTAGGTCCTACTACCAACCGTGTAAAATTCTACATCGATAGTGACGAAGAAGACCACGCCTAACGACAGATGGGGCCTCACACGCTGCGATGAAGATCCACGCCTTGCGACAAAAAAATACGATAGGAACTTACGCCTTACTATGAGGGTTGACACTTTGCGAAAAGGATTCTACGCCTTGCGATGGGAACTTAACGCTAACGATGATTGGCGGGCTCAGCCCGGCCACCTCATTCACGTCCCAATAGTTCGTATGGCGAGGTTCGGCTGGGTGGGTTTCGCAAAACACTTCGCAAAGTCGGGTTTCCTCACCAATATCTGAAGGATCGAGGGAGGGAGTCAAAATAGGTGTGTTGTTTGGCGATGAAACGGATCGACATGATGGTGAGGAGCTGGTGGTGGCTCTCGTACGCCGAGACACCACACACCAGTGTGACCATGTGATGGGATGACATCGAGGCGACACGATTAGGTAGAATGGAAATGATGGTGAATGAAATGGATTCAGCAAGGGAGGTGAGGAGGACCCCAGTTGCTGCAAGCTGTCTCAGGGCGAGGTTTTGGCCTTCGCGCTGGTTCGACATGTACGGGTTTTATTCTCGCAACGCTCTTCACCAAGTCGGTTTTTCTCGCCGAACCCCACCCCAGCGTACGCGCAGACCCAGGCTAGAGATCTGTTAGCGAGATCGAGTGGTAACTTGCGGCGAACCAATCCGTAAGTATGCATGCCAATCTCTACGCGGTAAAGATCGTGGGCTAGACAATGAAACTGTTTATGTACAATCGTAATGCTAAGATTACACAACTCCCATGCTCCAACTGTACCATACCCAACAAATTAGTCCAAACACTGGTAGAGAGTTTCGATTGAGGTTCTCAGTCACCAAGTACTTCGCCAGGCAGAGTATCACCGCTCACTGCCACTCCAGGAAGAATGGTCGTCAGAAGCGCCCGTAATCCGTCAATATCCGCTTTAATTTGCCTCAAACGAGGTAGCCTTCCAAGAAGCTTCACACCTTCTTCTGTCAATTTCGAACTAGAGAAATCCAACCCCTCAAGGGCGGATAGGTGTTGGATGTGCTCCATGCCAGCATCAGTGATCGTACTTGGGAGGATGAGCATCCTGAGCCGAGTTAATGGTGTCAGAAACCGAAGTCCGTGGTCCTTCACTCCACTGCGGTTAAGATACAGCTCCTCAAGGCTTGTGATTCTCCCCACGTGCACCATGCCAGCACAAGTAACCCGCTCGCATTTGTAAAAGATCAAGGTCTTGAGGGAAGTGAGACATGTCAAGTGCATCAGGCCAGAATCAGTCACATCTGTGCGGTTAAGGTAGAGGAACTTCAGGGAGCGTGCCCTTTCAATGTCATCCAGGGTGCTGTCGGTGACAACACTACCCTTCAGCTCCAACCCCTCCAGCTGCGGCAGTGAGTAGAGGCACTTGATCCCTCTAGATGTGAACCCTGATGCGCCGTCTATGTGCACGTGCTTGAGGTGAGTCATGGTGGCCACGTGGCGAAGGTAGGAGTCTGAGAGGCCAGAGAGGCCTTTCACATCCAGCCTTGTATCGAGATGCGTCGGTGCCGGGCACGGCGCTGCTGCCTCGTCCAAATTCGCTCTTTTCCTCGATCGCTGCACCTCCCTCTCCGTGCCCGGCGTTTCCTTCTCTTCAACCAACTCTTTTTTCACTTCAATCCACCCTCCCTTCACTGTCGCCAGCTCTCCCTTTACTGTCTCAAACTCTCCCTTTAACGTCCCCAGCTCTCCCCTTACAGTCACCAGCTCCCCCTTCACCGCCACCAGCTCTCCCTTCACTGTCGCCAGCTCTCCCTTTACTGTCCCTAGCTCTCCCTTCACTGTCGCCAGCTCTCCCTTTACTGTCCCTAGCTCTCCCTTTACTGTCCCCAGCTCTCCCCTTGTTGTAACCAGTTCCCCCTTCACCGCCACCAGCTCCCCTCGCACTGCTAATGTTTCCCCTCTCACTAACAACGTCTGCTCTGCCCTGCGCCTCTCAGCCTCCTCCAGTCCCCTCCGTGTCTCCTCCAGCTGCCCTTCCAACGCCCTCAGCCTCATCTCCATCGCCAGCACCAGCCCGTCGGTTCCCGCTTGGTGCTCTGATGGACTCCCAACACCATCGTTGTCTCCCCTCATTCCGAATCTGCACTCAGCAGCACCACAACCACATGGATTTGACAAAAAAAGAAGGTTTCGTTGAGAAGCACCGTTGGGGGTGAGTGGAATACAGAAGGATAAAGGAACATGAACCGTGTTAGGATTTTAAATCATGACGATACGAGGCTCTCATTTTAGATGGTCGAGATGGGAACAAGCAGGACGAGTTGCGAACGATCAGGATGCGGGCTACGATTGAGAGCTGATGAAGAAACGGGCACGAGAAGTCGGGAGGAGAGAGAGAAGAGGCAGGTGTGAAGGTAGCAGATGCTACTCGGCAACGACGGAGAGAGCAAGATAAGGCGAGGGTAACAGATTCTGTCGGTTATGACGAGAGAAACTAGGGGGGCGAGAGTAGTAGGAGCAGAGAAAGGCACAAGGTGAGTGCGGCGATGTAACCAAGAAAAGATTTAGAAAACACGCAAGGCGTGAGGGGCATGTGCGTTCCAGATTTGAACCCCCAATCTGTCGCTTCCTGCTCTCAAAGGGATTTATGACTGTAACATGAGCTGCGACGAGATGCGTCGACATACGTGCATCGACGCTCAGCTCATTAGAGACGACAGACGCCCGTCCTTATAACCTACCGATCGTGTATTTTGCTTACATCGAAGTGACGAAATCGACGACGCCTAACGACAGATAACGCCTTTCGATGAGAATCTATGCCTTGCGTTGGGGACTCGCGCGTTGCAAAAAAGGTAAAGCGCCTGTTGCTGAAAGAGTGCTTGCAATTGCTATTCCATGCCTTGGGACAGATTATTCATGCCTCGCGAGCGATGATCGATGGGCTCAGCCCATGTGACTCGTTCACGCCTCACAGAGTTGTTGTGGGACTAAACGAATCTGGTGTGAACCTGATTATTTCGCCTGGGTTTCGGTATCGCAACGCGCTTTGCCGAAACCAGCATTTCTCATGATGATTCACGGCATTTGTGGAGCAACAAAGCCAGTGGTTTGGCTCGCGAAAGCTATGGGTGGTAACCTGCGGCTAGCAATTCAAAATGTCAAATCGGTACGCGATGTGATCACTACGCATATCGCTTTGGACTCGAACAGCAAAATATCCATCATAGAAAAAAATAGTTGTGAAAAAGAAAACGGCAATTTTGATTACGCTCTTCACTGGTGACTGGATGGTTTGGGAGCGCAAACCATCAGACAGATCATCGTGTAATGTCTTGGATCCTTGTGCTATGAATGCCTCTTCATGAGGCGCAATTTGTGAAGCAGAAGCTTGTGTGCAAGCTTAGCAGGGTTTCGAAACTAAGAAGTGCCTATGAAACTAGTAATAGGATCACTATTCTTACCTGCATGGTTTCTGTGATACATCCGTTTCGTCATTGAAATGCCCGATCTGATCCCTTCATAAAATTCCCATTCATAATCATCTTGCTCAAGGTACTCATTCATTGGAGTTTGGCAGTGCTCTACTGCTGCTGCCGCCCCTCCATCCACTGCCACGCTCATCCCATCCACCTCCTCATTAGTCCGCATCCCTTCCTTCCCTTCCTCCCTTTCTCCCTTCACAGCAACCAACTCTCCCTTCACCTCAACCAACTCTTCTTTGATTGCTATCATTCCCCCCTTAACTGCCACCAACTCTTCCTTCACTGCTACTAGCTCCCCCACTAACTCCCCTTTGACTGATTCCAACTCCCCGTTCACAGCTGCTAACAACTCTTCCTTGACTGCTGCTCCCAACTCCTTCACGTTCATCACCTCTCGTTCTTTCTCCTCCATCCAAAATCTCTCTTCTTTTGACTCCACTGCTCTCCTACTCTCAGCCTCCTCAAGCCCCTTCCTTGTCTCCTCAAGCTCCCTCCTTGTTTCTCCAAGCTGTCCTTCAAGCGCACTTATTCGAGCTTCCATGGCCACTTTCGGCGCCTCTATGGCCTCCTGGCACATCTTCTCCTCCAATGCCCTCATCATCTCTCCAAGCTGTCCTTCAAGCGCACTTATTCGAGCTTCCATAGCCAGTCTCAGTGAGTCTATTGCCTGCCGCTGTCCTGAATAAATGGGAGCCTCTTTTTCCACTCCTTGCTCTCTCAGGCTGAGGAAGGGCACATGAGCAGGAGGTATATTGATTCAGCGCTGAGACTTCAAACCAATCAGCAAAGGCAATCAGTGACATATGACATGCGCGGATGAGAAGGAACTAAGAGTTAGAGCATGGAAGGTAACGACGTGTGAATGACCACAGGGGGCTAGGCAGAGCGGTCTCACAAGGTTTTGGGATAGAGAGTTGAAACTCAATGTTCCTGTGGCACGGAGAGGAAGGCAGTGATGCCAATGCATAGACATTGAATCGAGTGCAGAGAGAAGGGAAGAGATAAGGTTAGAGTCGACTCAAAAGGCAGGGGAGGGGCCACGGTGCATGCATATAGGGCAGAGAGAAGGGATGATGGAGGGGACAGGCGGGGAGGAGAGTAAGGAAAAGGAAGGCTACGGGAAAGAGAGGGGAAGAGAGTGGGAAGAGAAGGAACGAGAGGGGAAAATAGAGGGCAGAGAAGGAAAGAGAGGGGAAAAGAGAGGCAAAGAAATTCGGCAAGTGAGAGCGGCAGAGAGCAGAGCAGATAAAGGGACTGAAAACTATAAAGCAATTAGAGGAGGAGAGGGGATGAGAGAAGGAAATGTGAGCTGAGAAGAGCTGAAGGGAAACAACGAGATGAAGACATGGAAGGAAGAGTTGCACGCCTGCCAACCCACGACACCACTGTTGAAAACGACTAAATTATACACAATTGACTGGTGCAAGAGTGCAACAGTGGGGAAGAAGCGGGGAAAGCTGCTAGGAGTCAGCAATCGCAAATTGGATAGACGATAACGGAGCGTGACGCATCACTCAGTAAGGGCATGACTCAGCACATGGCAAGGGCATGACTTATGGTATAGAAAATGAATGACTCACGGCATGGCAAGCGCTAGAAAAATGACATACCAGAAAAGAAGCAGGCGCACTTTTCAGCTTCAACAGCCCATCTAATAGCACCACGCCCTGCTGGCCCACCCACGCTCTGGCCTGTGTTTGAGAGACACCCGTCCACCAGAGAAGCACCGTGACAGCTGTTGCGACTGAACAGACGACTTGCACCTGGTGTTGGTGTCGGGTGTGGTGATGGTGTGGTATAAGTGTTAGAATATTCACAGGTTTTGGTGTTAAGGTGATGGAACTGGAAACGTGCCTCATGCTTGAGCTCTAGGCCATGCGGGTAGAATAAAATATGCATAAATGGCAGGGGAATGCCGCGACTGGATTGCAACCACTAAGGAAGACATAAGAAAGAAGCTCTTGACTGATTGACTCCCCCCACCACTCACGAGAGATTGGAGGAGGTGAAGCACCGTCGCTAGGATGTGCATCTGTTGAACAGAGGAGTCAGGCCCCTGAGCCTGTGGACGAGGCACGCACATGGAAAGGAGTTTGTTCCTGCCCTTGTGCGTCTGCGTGCATGGAGGCACGCACACCTGATACACCTGATACAAAGCTGTAGCAACCGTGAGGGCTTTTGGATCGACTAAAGAATTCACTCATGGGTGCTCCTGGCGGCAAACACCTGATACAAAGCTGTAGCAACCGTAAGGGCTTTTGGATCGACTAAAGAATTCACTCATGGGTGCTCCTGGCGGCAAACACCTGTTACAAAGCTGTAGCAACCGTGAGGGCTTTTGGATCGACTAAAGAACTCACTCATGGGTGCTCCTGGCGGCAAACACCTGATACAAAGCTGTAGCAACCGTGAGAGCTTCTATCTCAATTGAGGAGGTCCACCTGACTCAAGGGAAGCTAAGAGGCTGTTGCAAGGGAAGTTGAAGCAAGCAGGAGGGGCAAAAATTGAAATTGCGCAACATTGCAAACGTGCATGCTTACATAGGCCACCACACCACATCAACCACAGCACAGCACAGCACACCATACAACACCGTACAAAACCACACCAAACTTGGGGAACTAACCACAGACTTTGTTCGCAAAGTCTGAACTGCACTGCACATGATTGCTCACGTTTCGTGTGAACGCCTGGTGCGAGTCATTCCTGCCTGACAGCAGCACGAGTCCGGTCATGGCAGCAGCAGCCAGTGCGCTCAGCAGCCCTGTCAGCAGCACGGCCGTTTCATCCATCCTCCCTGCCATTGGCAGCAGCAGCGCTCCGGGTCCGTGCAGGCTGTGAGGGTAGCGGGAGCAGCAAAATGAGAAAGGGGAAGGCACAGAAGCAGCATGAGTCCCGACACGGCAGCACCAGCCAGTGCGCTCAGTAGCCCTGTCCACAGCACAGTCGTTTCATCCATCCTCCCGAGCCCTGGCAACAGCAGCGTTCCAGGTTACCGCAGGCTGTGCGGGCAGCGGGAGCAAAAGATGAGAGGAGGGGGGAGACGGGAGCAGGGTGGAGAGGGCGAAGAGAGAAGATGAAAAGAAAGAGATGAAAACGGAAGCTGGGAGCACAAGGCACTGTGGGGGGCTATTGGGTAGACGCAGGGAAGGGATGGACGGGGAAGTGGCAAGATAAAGTGATGGAGAGAGACGCCAGGCCAAAACGTGAGGCAATGGGAATTGCGAGCAAGAAGTGACACGGGAATGGGGCAGAGGTGAGTGCATGAAGGCGACCGGAACGAGGAAGGGGAGCGAATGGGAGGCTGAGGTGCCTGAGAGTCAAGATCTGTTTCCGAAAAAAAAAAAGTCAAACAGCAAGTGAAGAGGTGACAGAAGAGAAATTGCGCAAAGTGAAGAGCAATGTGGAGCAAATGGCAGGGGAGGGCGGAAGCGGCAAAGCGCGCAAAACGTGTGACAGAACCAGCCTGCGAAACGGATGTGTGGCCTCTCAAGTCTACCATGCGCCAGGACAATGTCTTACAGGTTAGAACCTAGTACCAAGATTAATTCGCTAACATCGAAGACGCCAAGCCTAACCTCAGATGACGGGTCACGCGTAGGAGAGAGAGAGAGAGTGGGCACAAGATCGCAATGACGCTGATGCGGTGGATAATCAGGTTAACAAGGGCCTTACAATGACTTTTGCGGTCTCAAGCTTCTTCAAATAGAACCGGCGCAAGGAAATGCTTGACGAAATCGGATCTTAGGCTGTCGCGCCGTATTGAAGGCGAAGTATGATGAGTGAGTGGAGGGAGTTGGATCGGCATTATGGTGTGGGGCGGATGATGCTCGGCAGCCACGACGTCCGACGTGGACATGGTAGGGAAAAGATGGATGGGAGACGTGAAAGCAGCCATAGAAACCGCCATAGCGAAATGTGAAGCTGCCTCGCCATGGGACATAGATAGCCGCCTTAGTAGCGATAAGGATTTTCACGCCTTGCGATCAGAATTTCAAGCGCTTTCACGCCTTACGATACAAACCTCACGCCTCACACTGGCAGGACGAAGGTTTCATGATACTGTAGTGGTTTCGCAACCGTCGCTGAGGCGCACAACAACAGGAATCCAGGTGAGAATTTTGATTTTGAGTACGTACCGGTAGAACGTGTGGTAACTCACGATGAGCCAATCAGCCAGGATATCAGGACGCGTCACAAGTAAAATATCGAGGAAGGATCAGGGTTGTTCACCGAACCTGTCAAACCGATCGCCATATCGGTGTGTCACGACTGCTTTGAAGTTTCAAGTGACACGATCGTAAAAACACGGGGCAAAATTGCCCGATGTGGACGAAATTGCACGATCGTGTGTGACAGGGGCACATCGATCGCCTGACTTAGAAGGGAAAACTGTACGTTAGCGAAAATAAACGAAAATGTGTAACCACCTAAACACCGATTCTAGGCAGGATCGATGTTCTACTTGTGACGCGTCCTCAGCATGCCAATCCGTACGCGGTAGTGTCAGTGGTATTATTTTTTGTATCTTGGTGTAAAATCGTACTGAAAAGATGACACCCTTCTTACCGTAGAGATAATCAATCAACACAATTTACACTCACATCCCGATTAATCCATGTGAGACTTCACAGAAGTGAGACACGTGAGGTGCCTCGGGCCAGAATCAGTGACTCAGGATGCGGTTGAGGTACAAAAGCGTGAGGGTTCTGCTTGCCGCCCCAATGTCCAACAAGGTAACATTGGTGACAAACAACAGAATTGTTCTTCAGCTCCAGGCCCTCCAGCTGAGGCAGCCTGTAAAAGCACCTGAATCCTGATGCCTTCAGAGGTGACACCTGACGACCCATCCATGTGCACGTGCTTCAGGTGAGTGATGGTGCCCACTGCCCACGTGCCCGTGAGAAAAAGGTGAGCTGCAGAAGTGGCGAAAGGACAAGGTGGGCTGGGGGAAGGGGATGGGCGGGAGAATGTGGTAGGCTGTGCGGCGGGGCGAGGTTGGGGTAAGTTGACTAGCCAACTACGAGGGAGGCTCCTGGTTGGAACTTGGAAACTCAATGGAAAAACGTGAAGCTTGAACAAGAAGCTCGAACGCGCATCATAATCCTCCTTCTCACAGATGTCATGGCAGCAGATGAAGTTACAAACCAGCCAACGGACTTAGTCACCGAGAATAACGCTGGGCGGAAGCTCACTGCCCACTTTCACTCCTGGAAGATAGGCCTTTAGCAGTCTCTGAAACCTGTCGCTATCTGCTTTAATCTGCGTCAAACGTGTTAGCTTCTGAAGAAAACCCACACTCTTATTAGTTGCTTCCGAACGGGAGAAATCCAAACACTCCAGTGCGGTTAGGTGCTGTATGTACTCCACACCAGCGTCAGTGATTGTGTTGGGGAGGATAAGCATCCTGAGCCGTTTCAAAGGTGTTAGAAACCGCAATCCCTCGTCCTTCACTCCAGTTCCTAGTAGATACAGCTCCTCAAGACTTGACATCCTCCCCACGTGCACCATGCCGGCACACGTCACCCCGTCGCAGAAGTAAAGTATCAAGGTTTCGAGGTAAGGAAGACACGTCAAGTGCAGCAGGCCAGAATCAGATACGTCTGTGCGGTTGAGGTAGAGAAACTTCAGGGCCCGTACCCTCCCAATGCCAGCAAGGGTGCTGTTAGTGACTACACTACCCTTCAGCTCGAGGCTTTCCAGCTGCGGTAGAGAGTAGAGGCATTTGATGCCTTCAGACGTTAAGCCTGCTGATAAGTCAATGTGCACGTGCTTGAGGTGAGTCATGGTGGCCACGTGGGTGAGGAAGGCGTCTGAGAGGTCAGAGAGGACTTTCAGATCCAGAGTCGCCTTAGTTGTTGCTGTATGGACCCTCTGAGGAAAAAGGGGGAAGAAAAACAGAAAAGAAATCAATCAGAACTATATTGAGAATCAATCCTTAGCCCCCCCTCTCTCCCCATATTGCATACGTCCATCGATTAGTCCCTGTGACCCTTGCTCCCCCATTCCTCCACTCTCCGCCTCCTCCCCTCCCGTCCTTCCCTCTCCCCTCCCGCCCTTTCCCCCTCATTCCTTCCCCTCATCCCCCCCCCCCCCTCTCTCCCACCCCCCTCCCTTAACTCAAGCAACCCGCAATCATTACGCACCTGCCAGAACAGTTTGCGACTTCCTTCGCTCTTCTTGAGCTCCTCTTCTACGTCAAACTCCACATTCTTCGGTGCCGGACAGATCAGCGCTGCTGCCTCATCCCATTTCACTGCTTTCTCCTTCAGCTCCTTCACCTTCTCCTCCAAAGCCAGCTTTTCCGTCTCCACTTTCTGCAGGCACTCCTTCTGTTCAGCCAGCTCCCTTGTTGCTTCCTTCAACCCTCCTTTCACTGTTTCCAACTCCCCGTTCAGTGTTGCCAGCTGTACCTTTGTTGCTTCCGACTCCCCTTCCTCTGTCACCAGCTCTTCCCTTGTTGCCAGCTCCCCCTTTACTGTCACTAATTCCACATTTGATGTTTCCAACTCCCCTTTCACTGTCACCAGCTCCCCCCCTGTTGTCGCCAGTGTCTTGGTTGCCAGCTCCCCTTTTACTGTCAGTATTTCCCCCTTAATTGCTTCTAACTCCCCTTTAACTGTCGCCAACACTCCCTTTGTTGTTGCCAGTTCCCCTTTTACCGTTACTAATTCTCCCTTAACTGATTCCAGCTCCCTTTTTTCTGTCACAAATCCTCTTGCTTTACACCCCCCTTCAAATGTCGCCATCTCGCCATTTGTTGTTACCAGTTCCCCTTTCACCTTAACTGATTCCAGCTCCCCTTGTACTGTCGCTAGTTCCCCCTTAACTGTTTCCAACTCCCCTTTCATTTCACCATCTCTCCCCTTACAGTCACCAGCTCTCCCCTTGTCGCCACCAGCTCCCCTCTTACTGTAACCAACTCCCCTTTTACTGTTAGCATTTCCCCTTTCGTTAATAACGTCTCCTCTGCCCTTCGCCTCTCTGCCTCCTCCAGTCCCCTCCGTGTCTCCTCCAGCTGCCCTTCCAGCGCCCTCAGCCTCATCATCATCGCCAGCACCACCCCGTCGGTCCCCGCTTGGTGCTCTGAGGGACTCTCAGCATCCTCGTTGTCACCCCGCATACTGAAACTGTATTTTCCAGCATCACAACCCCATGGGATTGAAGAAACAAAAAAAGTGGTGTACAGGAGGAACACATGAAAAGATTATCGTAGTAACATGCGACTGATTGACTAACATAATGCAAGGCTCTTGGAAATTGAACAAGTGTAAGCTAGACAATAGAACAGCTAGGCTCTTGAGGTTGACAGACTGCAAGATCAATTCCATTTCCGCCAACACATGGTCGAAGCGAAATGACAAGTGGAATTCGACGAACGTTTGCTGTGGATAGAAGTAGGTGGTCAGGATTTTGAGAATTACATGGATTCTGCTATCAAACTGCCTAAAGTGGGAACGATGGGACTCACACTGTTATCGATCAATAGCGTCGCTCTTCAGTGGGGGTCAAGATAGCGAGGAGGCAATTGGTGTAATGGGAGGTGGAGCTATAATAACAGCAAGCAAGATGCTGAAAACAGGCAGCACATGGACAGGCAGAGCGGGAAAGGAAAATAACTGAGAAGCAAGGGTGGAGTCGGGAACGAGCAGGAGCAGTTGCGAACGATAGGTTTGAGAGCTAATGATGAGCCGGGCTCGAGCGTCGAGAGGAAGGGAGGGAAGAAGCACGGCGCTCAAGGTTGCAGATTCTGTCAGTCGACCGGTGATTGCAAAGGAGGCGAGGGAAACAGACCGCCCGTAGAACCTAACAAGATCGTGCAAGCTGCTTGACGATGACGAGCAAGCCTAACAACACATGGAAACATTCAGGGTCACGAGTGAGATGCGGACGCAAGAATAGAAAATCTATGAACAACGAGGAACGAGTGAAGTGGATGGATTGCGGTGACGCTGAGTGTGGTGCGGTGATGCTGAACAGGCAGCAGGGGATATCGCACGTCTTGCGACGGAGATATCAGAGCTTTTGCGACAGGATTTTTCTACGCCTTGCGACAGGAATTTTTACGCCTTGCGACTGGGACATCTACGCTTTGCGATGGGGTTTTCACGCCTAGCGACGAAAATTTTCGCCCTTGCGATGACTATTTCACGCCTAGCGACGAAAATTTTCGCCCTTGCGATGACTATTTCACGCCTTTCCACGGGGATTTTACACTCATGAAGTGGGATTTGATGGCTTGTGTTGCGATGCAATACTTGCTACCTTGTTTATGTCCCGCAACGAAGTACAGTACGTGGGTATGCAACTTTGTACGCGGTCATGTTCCTGTCACACATTACCAGAGGAAGAGTTATGTTCCTGTCACAAAATACCGAAGGGAGTTTTGTTCCTCCCTCACACATTACCAGATGAAGAGTTATGTTCCTGTCCCACATTACCGAAGGAAGAGTTAAAATCCTGTCACACATTACCAGAGGAAGAGTTATGTTCCTGTCTCACATTACCAAAGGAAGAGTTAAAATCCTGTCACACATTACCAGAGGAAGAGTTCTCTTTTACGATACTGAAAATATTGGTGGTAATGCTTGCTAATGCAACACTTTTCAACCAGCACATAACTGGAACACATTTACATAATCACAGCCAGACAGGTGCTTTAGCCAAGAGTATTGTGAGACGTGCAACAGCCGAGGTGCCTTTAAAAACGTTTCAATCACCCATGACAACGCCGGGGAAAACAGCATCGCTCACATCCACTTCTGGAAGCACGGCCTTCACAAGCCCCTACAGCATGCTCCCACTCTCCAACCTCACCTGCTTCAAGTGAAGCAATCCCTTCAGCAGCTGCACACCCTTCCCTGACACAAAGGAATCGAAAAACTCAAGCCATTGCAGCCCAGATAGGTGTTGAACATGCTCCATACCAGCATCTGTGATTTTTTCTGGAAGGAGGAGCATTGTGAGGTTGGTGAGTGGAGCCAGATACTGCAGCCCTTCATCCCTCACCCTGCTGCGATTGAGATACAGCTCCTCCAGGCTCGTCAGCTTCCCCACATGCACCATGCCGGCAGAGGTCACGCCCTCGCACTCGTAAAGAATCAGGGTCTTGAGGGACGGAAGGCTGGTCAAGTGGGGCAGGCCCGCATCAGTCACCTTGGTGCGGTTAAGATACAGAAGCTTCAGGGTGCTGCTAGCCGCCCCAATGCCCTCCAGGGTGCTATCAGTGACAACACTACCCTTCAACTCCAGGCGCTCCAGTTGTGGCAGGGAGAAAAGGCACTTAATCCCATCAGAGGTGAATCCTGATGCTGTGTCGATGTGCACGTGCTTGAGGTGAGTCATGGTTGACATGTGGGCGAGGTGGGCGTCTGAGAGATGATACAGCCCTTTCACATTCAGAAGTGTTGTTGCACGAGCCCTCTGAAATGAATAGTGAAGAGGGGTACAGAAGGAACAGTAGGGCAAAGATGAGTAAAGCACAGAGCAAGCATGTGAAGAATAGAAGAGATCAAGCACTTGTAGATAACAACTATTGATTCATCCAGCACTCATACACACCTGCCAGAACGACTTGACATCGCCTTTGCTCGTCCTCAGTTGATCTTCCACATCCAGCTCCTCATGCCTTCGCTCTGGTGTTTGACACTGCTCCACTGCTGCCAATCGCCCAACCGCTGCCAACCTCAGTTCACTGACCTCCGTTTTAATAGCAGCTCTTTCCTTCTGTTCCAGCAACTGTCCCTTTACTGTAACCAGCTCCCCCCTGACCGCTAACAATTCTCCTTTGATTGCTAGTAAGTCTCCCAACAACTCCCCTTTGACTACCAACAATTCCCCCTTGACATTCATCAACTCTCCCTCTTTCTCCTCCACTCGCCCTCGCGACTTTTCTGAATCCAGAGCTCTGGTTCTCTCAGCCTCCTCCAGTTCCCTCCTTGTCTCCTCAAATCCTTTCCTTGTCTCCTCCAATCCTTTCCTTGTGACCTCCTGGTCCCTCCTTGTCTCCTCCAGCTGCCCTTCAAGCACACTTATCCGAGCTTCCACAGCCACACCCAGCGCATCTGTTGCCTCCTGCTGCTCTGAAAGAGCAGAAGCACCTTTTCCCACTCCCTGCATTCCAAGGCTGAGCAAGGATACAAGGCGCAGGGGAACAGAAATTATAGAAGAGAAAAAAACTGAGAGGATACATCAAATCGGACATGCCATGCTATGTACGCAACAAGGGTACAAAAGGGTGTGAACAGAGGGTGGTGAGATGGAGCATTCTCACATGAATTTGTGATGGAGAGTGGAGGCTGCATGATCCTGTTGCACCAGGAAGAACGGGGCAGAGGAGGGGGGGCGGTACAGGCATTGACGGGAGAGAGAGAAGGGAAGATAAAGAGGGGAAGAGAGCAGACCAGGGGAAGAGAGAGTGGGCGAGAGAGGAGATCTGTCGTTGATGAAATGCTGAAGTAGGAGGATGAGATGAGAGTACGTCAGGAATTTTGCACACCGAGCCCACGAGTAGAAGGAGCATGACTCCTTACATACCCTTAGCAAGGGCATGGCTCATGGCATGGCAAGCGCCAATAACAAACATATGAAAAGCATAACATAGCTCAAATCAAATAAGATTTTATGGCGTAGCAAGAAGCAAACGGCTCAAAAGGTGCCATGACCCATGACATATACCAGGAAGGAAACGGCTGCCCTTTTCAGCTTCAGCAGCTTATTCTTAAACGCCAAACCCTGCCGGCCCACCCACTCTCTGGCCTGTGCTTGAGAGATGTCCGCCCACCAGAGCAGCATCGTGACTGTTGCCGTGGCTGAAAAGACGACATGCACCTGGTGTTGGTGTGGAAACATATGGGATGAAGAAACGTGCGTTTTGCCTGGCCCATGGGCTATGCGGGTGGCATGATATGTGCATAAATGCCACAGAAATGCGTCAGTTAAAGTGGAACCACAAATAAAGTAGTAATGAAAGAGAAGCCTTTGACTGATTTCCCCTGTACTCACGAGAGTTTGGAAAACGTGCAGAGCCGTGGCTATGAAGTGCACATGTTGAAAAGGGTCGAGCCGATGGGCCTGGCAGGCAATGAGGAAAGGAAATGGGAAGAACGGGGAACAACAGTGACATGCGTGTGATAAGGCAAAGTCGGAGATATGAGTAGGTTTCCTAGGCATCTACATCTTGCATGGATAGGCATGCACACCTGGACCAACTGTGAGTGGGCACACACCTGGCACACACCTAGCCCGAACAAGACTGGCAGTAGGCAAGAAGAGAAGCTAAGCGTCCGTCGCAAGCATGGTTGAAGCAGGAGGTGCAGGAAAGAGCAGCGTTTGCGATGACTAAAAAGCGAAAGCTTGCACATCCAGCCACCACACTATACCATACCACACCACACCACACCACACCACACTAGGGGAACAAACCACTCACTCCGCTCGCAACGTCTAAAAGGCACATGCTTGCTCACGTTCTGAGTGGGGTGGTCGCTGACATGGTGCGAGTCATTCCTGCCTGGCAGCAACACCAGTCCGGTCACAGTGACAGCAAGTGCGGTTAGCAGCCCTGTCAGCATCACGGCCGTTTCATCCATCCTCCCGGCCATTGGCAGCAGAGGAACTCCGGGTTAGTGCAGGCTGTGCGGGGAGCAGGACCAGAAAGATGAGGGGGGAAAGGGGGAGGTACAGCAGCAGCATGAATCTGGTCAGAGCAGCAAGCACAGCCACCCACCCGACCATTGACAGCAGCGGAACTCGATCTCTGGGTTAGAGCAGGCTGTGCGGGGAGCAGCAACAAGGGGATGACGGGGGAAGGACGGGAGCAGCAATGGATGGGGAAGAGGCGGTAACACATTGGCGAAGAGGTGGTAACACATTGGCCGAAGAGGTGGTAACACATTGGCTGAAACGTACTCCTAAGAGAAGAGGTGGCAGAAGGCGAATTCTGCAAGGAAACGAGCTGGCAGGAGGGCGGATACGAGCTGGCATGAGTAAGGGCCTTACTGTGGTCTCACGGATACAAAACAAGCCGTTACGAGCGACTCCTGTAACATCCGTACCCAACCCCAGCTGGTCTCGATACGTCGAACCAGCTGAGGGAGAAATGTGGGGAAATCTGGTTGGTTGGGAAAGCGAGACTTACGGGCAATTCAGGATTGATTGGGAAACCAACCAATCGAAATTGTTGCTGAGTCAAACTTACGCAATTGGTTTGAGCTTGTTCAAACATAACCCACGTAAGTTCACCTCATCACTAATTCAACCAATCAGATCACAGCCCCAAGAGTGAGTCGACAATGTTTCCGCCGCTCACTTCAAACACAACCAATGAGAAACAAATACAGGTTTGTGATTGCTATGCAATTCTTATCCTTGCTATCTAAAATGTAATTGGTTGAAAATCTTGTTTGTTGCCACATGGGCAAGACCCAAGGGAGTGCACCCCTCCTTGCCATGGGGAAGGTGGCTGCACCCCAAGGGGGTCTAGGGAAGGGGTCTGAAGCCTCTTGGCTCATTCCTCATTTCCTACTCCCAACAAATCAATTGGGAAATAGGATTGTCTTCTCCTCAACTCACCTTCCACAGTTTGTTACTGCATCTCCTAGCACTCTCCAGACTTAGTGATTTCCAGGAGCTGTTACTCTCTGTTTGTGTTAGAACTTATCTTTATATGGGTAAATGCCCTTTTTCTTAGTAGATCCGTTACATTGGTAATCAGAGCTATTAGTAGATCCTCGCCTTGTGGGCATCTAAGAGGATTTTTCATTTTTCTTTTCTTGGAGGAGTTGTGATTTTTATTGTAATCACCATATTATAAACTTGTGAAGACTACAAGCTACTCAAGCAGTTTTCAAGATCTACAAGCTTCTCCAAGAGTTCTAAGCCCTCCCTCCCTCCCTGCTGGTGGAACCATTGGAGCTACTGTGAAAAAGTTGCAACCTGTCTGAATTCACATTCTCTGTTGAAGACAATCACTTTGTGATTGTTCTTGCCTTATCCACTGCGGTGGTAAGGATATTTTGCAACAGAGGTGTTTTTCACATTGTTGTGGTTGTAAGATCTATTGAAGACATTTCTCCTCTGGAGAAAATCTTGGTTATTCACTGCGGTGGTAACAATTTGCAGTAGATCTGTAACTCATTTTTATAATACAGTGACTTTGCTCTAAATGGCTTCTACCAACTCCAATGCTGGTGGTGTTGAAGGCAACAACTCCCATGCTGATTTGGAAGCTTGTGTGCAGAAGATTGACCTGAACAACTTGGATGAGGAAATGGCTGAAAAGGAACCTGCTGAAAACTCCCCTGCTAAGGACCCTTCATATGCTGAAAATTCCAAGGAGCAGGAAGGGGAGTCTCAGGAGGATGACATTGAGTTGGAAGGGGAAGAGGACATTTTGCATGCTGAAATTGCTAAGCTGCAGGACCATGCTGCTGAGCAGGATACGCGCATCCAGCAGCAGCAGTCACTCATCACCAACCTCAAGAGGGATCTCTCTGACCAGGACAACAAAATCAAGTACCTGGAAGTTGAGCTCAAGAACATGAAGCACGACGCCCGGGAGCACGTTCATCAGCTGGCGAGGCAGACCTCAAAGATCAACGAGCTGCGCGAGGCGTTCAGTGCCCTCCGAAGGGAGACCATGTATCGCCCTGCACCACGAGCGGAACCGCCTGCCAACTCTGCTAGCGGTCGCACCAACCCTTCTCGCTCTGGTGGTGCAGTGGGTGACCCTGGTCCTTCTACGCAGCGCGCTGCTGAGCCGAGCACGCAGGCTTTTGGCTCTCTGCCAATCACCCTGCCGCCATTCATCCATGGCAAGACGGACGTGGCTGCGTGGTTGTCGATGATGACCGACCTGTTCAAGGCGCACAAGGTCCAAGACGACGCTCGCGTCGTCGCTGCCACCACCGTGCTGGACCAGAATGCACAGCGAGTGGTGTATGGCAGCAAGATCCAGGCTGAGGCGGATAGGAAGCCGTTTGGATGGGAGGAATTCGCATCTGCACTCAAGCAAGCCTTCCAGGTCCAGCCGACCCAGCTGGAGGTGCGCAGCCGCCTTGAGAAGCTGCAGTGCGGGAACCGCACAGTGCAGCAGTACGCTGTGGAGTTCGAGGAGATCTGGGTGCTGCAGAAACCGGCAGAACGCATGAGCGAGGGTGAGAAGATCCATCTGTTCTTCAGGGGGCTGCCTGAGCACCTCAAGAACATGCATATGACGGATGGGGCTGGGGAGGCATGGAGGTCATATGATCACGTGAAGCGCGTGGTGGGGACCACTGATAAGCACTTCCGTGCTTATGCCAAAACCACTACCCAGCCGCAGCAGGCCTCAAGGCCGTCTTCTAGCACTGCGG